GGGGGGAGGCGCAGCGTCGGCCGCACCCTGCTGGCCTGGCGGGCTCTGGGCCGCGGTCCCCGGGCCTCCGTGGTGTCTTGCGCAGGCGCCGCCGCGGGAGCAGGTCGGCCTTGCCAGCCCCTCGTCCGCGGCTGGCGAGAGGATGAGCACCCGGCCCAGACCCGAAGACGCACCGCTTGCCCTCGTTTTCCTTGGCGCCGCCCGGGCCCCCAGACTGTTCCAGGGGCGCAGTTCCTCGCACCTCCCAGACCCCAGGCTGAAACCCGCGAGTCGGTAGTGGAAGAGTGAATGCAGTATTCCGCTCGCGGGTGAGGTCTTCGTCCTCGAAAGGAAGCTTTCTCTGCTCCTACACTGTGTCATACTTACCCTGCAGGTGGTACTTGCAAATCGAAATTCGACGTTTTTAGGCCATTTTGGTTACAAAACTAAATCACAACAGCCTCAATGGCTGTAGGTCGGGTTATACGGGGTTGCCTCATAGGGTTTTATTTATTTCCTGTCCTTGTGGAATTAAATGCAATCATCTATCATCACTTTTAGCAATAGCTACTATTTTTTGAGTGCTGTGCGTGAGATGCTTTTCAGGTATTATCTCTAATTACTGCAACACTAGAAGATAATATCCTGTACCATTTACAGTTAGAACGGAGGCTCAGAATACTAACTTTTTCAAAGCAAGTGGTACAAGGAGTCTGAAGAAGAGTTCAAATTGAAGGTCCTAAGTATAGGTCCTTTCCACCGGCCCATACTGCCCTGGACAAGACCCTGGAGTATCGAGGAGTAAAGGTATGGGTGGGCACGTGCGCGCGCGCGGATGTAACGGGGAGGGCGGGTTCTGGCTTCTAGTGGGAGGAGAGGCCCATTCATAACTAACAGGAAAATGTACGGTCACGAGTCACAAGGTATTGCAGTATCTAATATTTCTTGATTTGAAGTAGGATTTTATTCCTAATTACCATGAGGTTAATTATTCAAGACAATATGTGCTTGCAAGTTAACATAAAAGCCGGCTTCTAGAATTGTGTATCTCTTGGTAGGGGATAGGATATTGTTATTCCCAAAAGCTGAAGGTTGTAACGACTTGAAGAAGTGCATTCCCTTCAGCTCCAGGAAGGATGAGCCATCGACGATTCAGTTAACTCTCATTTCTGTGTGCTGGGAGCTATGCTGTGTCGTGGGGGAACATTCTGGGTAAGATCTGACCTTGGTGCTCTAGGATCTTACAGTTTGGTTAAGGTTGCAGGGCAACTATATTGCAAGGGCGAATACACCCAAAAGAGAAGACATTTCTTAAAGCTTCTGTTGCCATATCCAGGGCCTGCAGTAGTGGAGTAGATGGGCTTTTGTGCAAAAATGTTTGCCTGCCACCTGTCACTCCAGAACCAGAGCTCCTTGCTTAGAGTTCAGATGCTTTTTAAAAATGCAAGGAGTCCCTTTTGATATCACAGTAACCCTTTAGGACTGCATTTCTGTATCAGGCAGAAGACAAACCACACTAGGCTTTGAAGGAAGAGAATTAAGAGTTAACAGTGTAGAATTGTTAGAAAAAGAATAAGAAGAGATGTCTACGAGTATTGTGGACTTGGCAGCTGCAGGAAGCATTCACTCCCTTGTGGGACTGAGAGAACCAGGGCAGTGGTTGCAATTTTACAACTTAGAGACTTGGTGGAAGGTCCCACCCAGTTGAAACTTGGATCTACGAGGAAGGAGGTTGTGCTGCTCAGCTATGGGGCGGGCCTGACAGTTCTGGGAAGCAGACCTTTGAAGAGCAGGCGCTGGACAGCTGGTAGTGTGTCATGTGGGGGCACGGTGAAGAAGCTGGGCCTACAGGTGCTGGGAAAACTGCAGACTGGATTCTGCAACTGTGCTGCTGCTGGGGAGAAGCTCTAAGGGACAGAGAGTGGAGGGGAAGGCCCAGGTTGCAGGCAGCAGGAGCGGGTCCCGTCTTCCCCCTGCTCTCTTGCAGTGTCCGTGGTCCCTGAGCGGCTGAGCAGCGTGCGCCCTATGGGTCACAGCATAACTGCTTATTTGGCACACATTCCTTGGGTCTGTGGAAGATTGGTTGGCAGCCAGGGCTGAGAGTGGGGAGTGAGGCTTCTGGGCAATGGGAGGAGTGAACTGTGTAACAGAGGGTTGCTGAGAAGGATGCAGGAACTCAAGATGACCAGCTTCCAAACCAGGGAGCTGCTAGGGCTTAATCCCTCATGTTAGAACACACACCCCTTGACTTGATACAGCAGATGAAGACCCCGTGATAATTTTAGTCCCACAGTGTGACTCCTTTGCAGGTTTATAAGATGATGTTAGTGTAATGTGGGGATAATTGTGAGGATCTTGGTATTATTTAATCCTTCATGTAAAAGCATGGTTTGCTGCTTCTTATACCACATAAGGATTCAGAACTATGCTTTTTACTTGCATTTTAGTTTATTATGCTTGATTTTCTGCTTTTCCATTCTGCATTAAAAAAATTGCTCATTTCAATAACTTTGGGACAGTATAGGAATGCTGAAAGGAACAATGCACTATCCACAAGATGTACCAAGCTTCGGTACACTCCTATCTTCACAAATATTATTAAAAATTTCACATCTTCAACATTTATTTGATAAAGTTTATGTAAACTATCTTTGATTAATATTTAATCACAGTATTTTAATCATACAGCTCTCACGATAGCCAGAAGGTGTGTTAACAGTAGCTGTACCTAAGTATATTCTGAACTTAAGGTAGACTGGGATTTTCTTGTGACTTGAACATGTAATCGATATGACTCTGTTTTTACTTCTTTTAAGTAGTGTCTTCTGTGTCTTATATTTCAGATGCTAATAGAGGATCCGATTACCACTTGTCTTTCTCCCTCAGTCTATGATATGATCTGTAAACGCGGGTTTGACGTCAGAGAGAGTTGTGATACCAATCGCGTTGTAACTCAGAGGGGTGAAGTACGCTGGCAGACCATCACAGCCTGTGTGGCTTACACAGAGTCAGGTCTGTACGTTCTCTGCACCCCAAGCAGCTGTCAGTGCTGTTCCGTTTCAAACGTCGTGGCTGTAAAACCTTCCTTTCTGACCATTGTTTCTTCTAGTTAGAGGTTGTTACAATACAGACCTAGCTCAGAAGAGGAAAGGGATCAGGTGACACGGGAGGCAGTGAGGCCAGAGGAGCACAGGAGAGATACCAGAGCACTGAGCCAAGCAAGCCGTGTGCGAGAAGGAGGCCGTGGGCGTAACAGTCTCGCTCCATGCCAGCAGTCAGATGGAAGAGGGAAGAAAGTAGGGGTCCCAGGAATTCTGGGTAGGAAATGACCAGTAGGATATTACACAGCTGTCTTCAATGTTCCAGGCTTTATTGTACATTTTTTAGAGCAGGGATGTGGGTTGGGAAATTTAATAATAGTTATAAAAATTGCAAATGAACATGCTCTGGCCCAGCGGTTTCATCCCAGGAGTTTGTAAGACAGGCACACATACAGGTACGAACGAGTGTTTGTGCCAGGTTACTGTTGGTGCTGATTGTAAGCAAAAATGGAAGAAAACAACCCAAACGTTGGGAACAGCCAAGCATACAGCATGACTACGACAGGCACGCGAGAAAGCATTACGTGGTGGTGCGAAGGGTGGGGAGCCCATCGCCCTGAACCACGGGGCTAAGCGAAAAAATAGGAAGGGCATATCATTGTATTTGCTGTGTATGTATAAGTATTTCTAAATACCCCGAGGAATTAATAACTGTAGTTGCTATAGGAAGGAGAACTGGGTGGCCAGAAGGGAGACCTTCACCCTTTTATCTTTTTTGGGTGTGAGCCGTGTGAATGTTCAGCTTCAAACTTATCAGAAAATTAAAACAAAAAAATTCGTATGTTCTAAAATAACATCATTGGAAATCTCATAGTCTAATGTCAAGTAAAAAATCAGGTTAAAATATTATATATACAGTATGAACCTGATTTTGTATAAACTTCCATACAAGTAAAGTGAAGAAAATATTTTCTCTTGATTAACCTTTTTGTATCTTCCAACCTTGTACACTTCTAATAGTGTATTTTTCTTTTATTGTCAGATAAGCACCATGTAACTTACTTCCAGCAATATCTGGGTATCTTTATTGTAAGTTCAACTATAAACTGGTTGTTGATTTCATGGAAACTTCATAATTAAAGCACTTTTTCTTTGATGCTTAGGCATTTTCATCCCGTGGTAAGGAGCTGTAGTACTAACACTGCTTTTCTTATCCCTGAAGCCCAGAGTCTGGATTACCGGGGCACCGTGCTGCTGCTGGGCCCCGTGTGTGAGGCCGTCCACCGACATTTGTTATCTCTGACCAAGGGACAGTTTGACATGCGATACATGCCGTGGCTGCAGTGGACAGCTTTTCCAGAGGTTTGGCCTGTGAACAACCTTTAGAAATAGAAGACTTGGCGAAGTCTGCTTAGAGGCCCTCGTTACCTGTTCATCTTAAAGGGGTCTCCTCCATCCTCTAAGCCCTCCGCCTGTGAAAAGGCTTGAGGGATGCAAGGGAAACTTGGAATGTAATGTAGTCGCCATGGCCTGAAACATCCTTGGAACAAAGGAAGTTTTTGGATGCAGTATCCATACTGGGGGTTGGAGAGTAGCTAGGTATGTGGGTGCTGGTCCTGGGAAGATGAGGATGGACTGCTCCAGAAAAAAGCAAAGACCTTATGGACAGACAGTAAGGTGTTCTTGAGACAGTGGGACAAGGAAACCAGGTGGGGATGCTTGGTTTGTGGAGGATGAATGGAAACGCCAGACGTTTTGGCTGGTTTGTTGGTTGGTGCAAACCAGCCATTGCACTTGGCACATTTAATGACCACAGTAGGGCAGTAACTATAAAAGGTCTAATTATAAAATACTTCAAATTTCCTGATGTAGATAGAAGGGTCATTGCTTCTCCCCTTGTAACAGCTCTTACATGACAGGCTGAGCTGCCTCACGTTTGTTGACTTTTAAGAACTAATCAGAATGGGAAATAAGATTTAGGTCAAAATATTTGACTTTTCAATTTACAGTTATGCCAGATTTATTGCTTTCAGTAAACATTTAAATGAAGAAAATGTTCAAAACTCCTTAGATATTAAACACTTTTTTGATTCTTTAGATATTGTTACAGTTGAGTCTTGGACAGTGCAGGGCTAAGGGTGCCCACCCCCTGTGCAGTTGCAAATCTGCATATAACTTTAGACTCCCTCAGAACTGAACTGCTAATAGCCGACTCTTGGCCACAAGCCTTACTGATAATGTAGTTGATTAACACGTATTTTAGATGTTTTATGTATTATATACTGTATGCTTGCAATGAAGTCAGCTAGAGAAACGTTATTAAGAAAATCATGAGGAAGAGAAAAATACACTTACAATACCGTACTGTATTTGTGGAAAAAATCCGCATGTAAGCCGACCTGTGGAGTCCAAACCCGTGTTCAGGGGTCAACTGTGTATTTATATAACAAATGTTTACCTGTACCAAGAAAGTCATGAAAATACACTAATTGAAATCTTTAGAAGTTTGAATTTCATAAATCGTATTGCTTGAGAAATACTTGGGGAAATGTTTCTTACTGATCACAAATTCTAACATATGTCTTGTTCTACACAGTTATTTCCTGAAATATTTGATGCTTTGGGAAGCCCTCAATGTCCCGCTATTCCTCTTAGCTTAATGAAACTGACGGCATGTCTAGAACGGGCTTTGGGTGATGTAAGTGTGAGACCTCTTTCTTTGGTTCACTGAAGTATCTGAATGAACATCAGACTTTTACAGTTGTCCTCAGATTTCTTGATTTTAATTCTTGTTTTCCTATGAAATGTAATCATTTGGCACAGATGTTTAATATTTTTCTTTTTCAATGATTATGAAATCAAAACATTGGTGACTTCAGTGTTTTTCTCCCTCATTTGTACAAACAGTGGCTTTATGGGTGGGTTTTTTCTTCACATTGTTTGGTTCATTACAATGCAACTGTAACACAATCCTTCTTTGAATTGTAGGTGTATTTACTGAATGGGAAGGAATGCCCCTTTCTTTTGAGAGATCTGCTTGCGTCTGAGGAGCTTGCCGAGGTCTTTGGTCGGTCTGTGGTAAGCTTGTTCACCTAAACCTGATAGAGTAGACACAGCACAAAGCCATTCATAGTAGCTCTACTTTTGCTCCTCAGAAATTGATGCTGCAGTAGGAAAAAGTTGATGACAGCTGTAATTTGAGCATATTCTCCTTTGCCACCTCCCCTTTCAAAATTGCCACTTTTCCAGCCACAAGACACACGTCTCTTATCCTGGGTCTTGGCGTGGTATAATAGCCCTGGTGGGACAGCCTCGGGGGGCCAGCTGGATGAACAATTTGAACTCTATTGCTTTCATTAATTATACGTTAATAATTATCATAATAGCATATTCTAGAATAAAATTTTGACCATTTAGGGAGGGATATTAAAGTTTTATACTAAAATATCCATTTTTTTTTTTTTTTAACATGTGGGAGTTTATGCCGTTCTGCAACTGTTCAGACTTACAGTGAAAAAAAACTAGATGCCAGTTTAAAACCACGCAGAGCTGTATACTTTGTCAAAATCTTCAACAGGCCACAACCGAGTGAGGCAGGATCAAGGTGCAGAAGAATGCCAAGATAGCGTCCTGGGCAAAGCTGAGCCTGCCGAGCCAGGACGATGTTTAAAATGCTGGTGTAATATGTTACCAGCTAGACTTGCTATTTTTGGATAAGAAATCTGTTTTCAGTAAAGCTCTCCCACTTTACAGTGGTTCCCTGTCAGCTTAAAGAGCACTTTGTTTAGTGGAGAATATGGAGTGAAGACCAAGTACAAAATTCTTGTAGTTATACTGACTTCTGAAACAGATCCATGTGTTTGGCCTGTTGTTTGTTGTCGGCCTGGGTGCTGTTAGCCTCTTGCTGACCTGCAGCCACTCTCAGCCCCAGATCCTTCTACTAGTCCATTGGCTTCTGTATTTCTGATTGCCCATGTGGTATGAACAATTAATTAAAGTTAGTAGTAAACTAAATTAAAAATAAATATAGCTAAGAGAGTATTATTATGATTATTAGTATTAGGTATTACTATTCAAGTATTAAAAATTGATGTGAGCATGAAGAGTTTCTGGAGTTGCATGGAGAGACTGGTTGCCAAGGGTTCTGATGCTGAGTTGAAACCCTCTTTGTAACTTCTGCTCTGGCTTGTCCTGCCCTTTGAGAGAAATTCAGGATCTGTGCATCCATTTCCTCCTCTCAGCAAGAGTCCTTCAGGCGTCTGAAGATAGCTTTCCTTCCTTCTCCGTGTCTTCTGGAGGCATACTCTTCCTTGTCATATGACTTGGTTTTGAGTTATTTTAGTCTCTGCATATCTTCTATTATCCTGAATGTGTTCTAAAGTGTTGCCCTCCAAACCAAGAGCGAGCCCATGGAAATGCACGAGTCTTGCCATCTGATAAGCGGGATCCCCATAGTGGGTGTCTTTATAAGTGGAGGGAGAGAAGCAGGTGAATGGTGAGCTTCCAGCCAATAGCTAAGTAGGGGAGGTCTGGGCTGGGAGCATCCGTGGGCCAGCCCCTCCTCACAGGGTCTGCCTCCTGTGGATTTCCTGTTCCCCACTTTGTGCTTTGTTTTATCTAGGTAGTAGGCACGCTTGATGTGCCGGATGAAAGCAGCATAGCCTGGGACAGATCTCATCCCCCTTTATAGCTCGTGGCCCCTGAGGCCTAGCTTTCAGCTCTCCATGCTTGTATTCCTCATCTGCACAGTGGGATTAATAGTAATGCCCTCCTCATAGGTTGTTCTGAGGATGAATGAGTAATAAATACACACAAAATGTGTTTGACGTGTTAAATGCCTAGTAATGTTTGAATACTATTAGACGATTACTAGTACTACCGTACGCCAGCCAGAGTGTCGGGTCTGCTCTAAAGAAGAAAGCAGACGTTCTCCCACTACTATATCAGTTTATTCCGTAGTTCCGTGAATATTTAACTGTGCAGTAATCTGTTCTTAACCTGATTAGATGGACGTGCTGAAAGTCTTCGTCGGATCTCCACGTGGACTCAACCTGCGTAATACCCTATGGCACGGCTTTGCCTCCCCTCATGAGATCCCCCCAAAGTACGTTGCTAGGAAAGTAATTTTCTCTCTTCTTTGATGTACTTAAGAGTTTGTTTTATCTTGAATTTTACGTTGGGCAAAGATGTGTTTTGGGAAAGATGAGAGTTTTGAGGCAGGAATTTGAAGATCAAACTGAATCGATAAACACCTGGTGTGTGACAGGGTTGGGACCCCACTGACTTCCACCCCAGAGGCAGCTGTGAGGCCGAGCCTCACAGAGGTGACAAGGGGCACTGCCTGCTGGGGGGTGGGAGACCCTGAGAACTGCTCTCTCGAGCCTCCCAGCCCTCGTGTAGCTGAATTCCCACACGCAGCCAGGGGGAGTTTCCTACAATTGAATAGTGTTGTACTTCCTTAATTTTAAACTTGTTCTTTTGAAAGTAAATCTCTTTATGTGTACAACAGTCCATTTTTCTAACAGATCCTGTGGTGTTTTGCACTAGATACTGTTCAATGATGGTACTGTTGACCGTGGGATTGGGTCAGCTGCTGAAGAGTTACTTGCAACAAGCTAAACTTGTGTTGGCACACCGACCTTTCATCGTTCTCACAAACCTTGAGGATTTGGCCGTTTTCCCTGGCAAGTATTACACTTCACAGTTTCCCCTGAATGTGTCTTCATAAAGGTAGGGATAAAGTCAGGAAGTGGCACGGGGACTTGAGCCCTTTCGATGGACTACTTTCCAGAGGCAGGAGAAGATGAACTTTCAAAGCTGCTTAAACTTTGCTACATAAAACCTCACCCCCTACAGCGGGACTGAATCTCTGAGGTAAATCATGGCAGGAGTAACCCAGATCACCTTATCCTGGCAGTCTTAGCCTTTTTGTGCCACAGACCCTTTGGTAGTCCGCTGACTGCCAGTAATACACACTTTTTAAGACTTTATTTTTTAGGGCAATTTTCAGTTTGGAACAAAATGGATGGGAAGGTGCAGAGATTCCCCGGAAGCCCCCGCCCTGACACGTGCAGCATCCCCCCGCAGAGCACATTTGTTGCCAGGGATGAACCTGCACAGACAGGTCATCATCAGGCAGGGTCCCTAGTTTACCTCAGGGTTCAGTCTTGTTCCTCTCCCTTCTGAAAATGTATCTTACTTTTCTTAGCGTGGTCAGCTGGTCAGCCCTGCCGTCCTCTCGTCATAGCTGTGGCCTGAGTCATGAAGAGGCCGTCGTGCGCCTCCCCTTGCCCCAGGGGTGCCACGGTCACCTACGACTCGTGGGCCTCCTGCCCTGAGTCTGCTTACGTTGTTCTTCTACTAATTAGGGTGATTGTGCTTAAAACTCTTGTTATTTTGCAGATGTTACTTCTGAGGTACTTTCAGTGTTAGAAGAAGTGATGAAGAAATCCACTTTCATATTAAAGGTCATGTTGCCGTACTGGGAAGCTGCATTAATCGGGTTCAGGTCACACAGGTAAGTGAGGAGGCTGGTCCTCTCCAGGACGGCTGAGCTTAAAATGCCTTCACAGTGCTGACTGAAACGTTACGTATCAGCCTTTTGGTGTAGTCGATACCGATAATCATTCTTTGGAATCAACTTTTCGGTGTCATTTGAGTTCTAACTATGAGAGAACCATGTGTCCCGTGTTAAAGAATCCTGCAGCCAGGAGGAGGTAAGTTCGACTCGGTTTCCTGAGGAGCAAAGCAGATGCACGTGGACATCGCGAGGCCCACGGCCTTTGCCTCCCTTCAGGTTCTGTTGTCCGTGCGTTCGTTCGTACCTTGAGAACCCACCCAAATCCTGCAATCTGAGTATTTCTTACAAGTAGTGGGAAGAATTGGGCAGATCTTTGATGACCTTTTATTCTGGAGCTTCTCTTATGTCAGAACAGTGGAAAATAGATTTAAGCTCACGAGTCTAAGGAGCCTGTGATTCTGCATTGTTTCTCATGTTAGCGAGTATGGTCACCCCTCCTTGCCTTGATCACACATTGGTAATATCTGGAACAAAGCACCGTTATTTGGGGTCGATGCCAGTGTTTACTTTTAAAGCTTGAGATTTGCCTATTTTACTTCAATTTCACAGGTTTGCCGACTGTGCCATGTTGTTACTGACACAGTTAGAGACGGGACTCAGGAGAGTTTTTGCCGCTGTTAACCAATGTCCAAAAAGACTTCTGACCGCTGAGGTACACATGCTTCCGTGATTGATGGTGGTTGCCGCTGTATTGAGTTTTCTCTGCCTAATTAAAAGTTTTTAATATCTCATTTTTGTTTAGCATTAAATGAATTTTTTAGCTAAGAATTTTCTTTGGAACGCTTGAGTGTTGTTTTTTTGTGGCTTCCTATTATAATGATTTTATATGGTGTATAATTATTTGTGATTGTTTTTGATCGTTCTGTATTTCCAAGTATTTCAGACTTGTCAGGAGAGTAGAAACCGCGTAGCCTTGTAGCCGCAGGACGCAGCTCTGGGCCAGAACTGCCAGGGAGCTTGGGGAAGCTTCTGGGTGGCCCTGTGCCCAGTCACCTGGCAGAGGCAAGAGGGTGCGTGTGTCGGGGCTGCCCCCGGAACTCTTGTTCCTCCCACTCAGTCAGCTTCGTCTTTCCGCCCCTTTCCAGAGGCATTCCTCGCCATTCTGTTCCCAACCCTGTGCTCCCTGGATCTGCTGCGGTAGATCTTACTCCCTCCCATGTCTTAGCCGCCCTGCTCCCAGGGGAACAAGGATTGGAAAATACTTCGAACCAATGAAAGCGAAAGCCTGACACAGGCTGAGCTGTCAATGCGGCCGGAGAGGTGTCGGGACAACAGTCTGTCCTATGAATGGCAGGTGCTGTCCCAGGCAGTCGTCTCCTCAAACTCAGCTCATCCTCCTCCCGAGTTAGGCTTACCCCATTTGCTGAACGTTTTCAGGTCTCAAACTCCTTTATTGCTACAAAGCTCACTTTTCTTCCCACAAATTTGTTCTCTGGTGTTCCTTATTATCCCCGTCTGCTCAGGCGCTGGGTACCAGCCTCCAGCACCACCTTGTGCTGCGTCCCCTTAATCCACTCAGTGTCCAGCCGCACCCGTCTGTTCTCAACGCTGAGGCCTCACCCGGCTCCTCTCTCAGTGATAAATAGTCTTAACGTCTTTCATGGTCTCATCTGCTTAGAACTTTAGGGGCACCCCAGTACCTGCAGCGAGCTTTGAGCTTGCGCGGGGCGTTCGGGGACCCCATGTGGACCCACCTTCCTCCGGTCTGTCTCCTCCTGTCGGATTCCTCCGGCATAACCGAGGCCCCTCGCCAGTTCCAGAACGTTCTTTTTGCAGGCTTTGCCCACTGTCCCTGCCAGACCGCTTCAGGCCACGTGAGTGACCTCCAGAGCCTCGACCCCTCCGATTGCAACAGCTTCTCTTCCCTGCGTCCTGCCTCTGTTTTATCTCCGGGCACTTCGGTGCCTTCTGTGCCTGTTTGGACAGGTTTCTAGTGCAGGCTCCTCAGGAGTGCAGTGCTCACGTTTGTGTCCCCTGATGCCCATGCCTGGTGCCTTTCCCGTCCGCTCTGCCCTGGGCAGTGCCAGGCAGTGTCGTGCAGCGTCTGTCTCCAGCAGAAAGAGCGAGAACCCCGGTTGTCACAGCTCTCACTCGAGTACACTTGGTATTACTTCACGGGGGTGTAAACAGATTCGGTCATTTACATGTTATTTGGCCACACAAGTAAATAGCATGACTGTTTTTATCAAACAGTGTCTTAAATTGTAGGCCAGGCTCTTGTTCAGAATAAACAACGGTGTCAACTTACTTATAAGGCAATGCATATGTGAAAATGCTTTATAAAGCTGTAAAGTGCTGTGCACAGGTGGTTACTGTTTACTGAATACTTACAGCATAAGGTCTCTGAGATCAGTGGAAGATCGGAAGATGAGTAAGACGGTGTGACTTTAAGAAGCTTATGTACGAGGGGTGAGAGAGAAGACATTTATACCCATTCCTTAAACAAGGTAGAAGTTAATGCCTGCAGTTTATTGAGATCAGTGAAAAGTTCGGTATTTAGTAGGCAGTTGGATGCTTAGACTGGGGCTCAGGAGAAGTTTTAGGGTCAGTAGCATAGGCTTGGGGGCTGTAAAGATAACAGACTTTATAGGTTTCTATGTCGTAATAAATGTTGGAGGAAATTTCATATGTTAAATTGAAAATATGTTAAATGAGACACTTTTTTTTGAGAGCTGGCTTCCACAGAATGCTGATTTCATCACAGTGTGTGTAAAATCTTACTGAATTCCCCAGCGGACTTTCAGGATGGGCACTACTCGTGTCCCGTTTTGCAGAGAAACCTAGGTGGGAAGGTGCACAGGGTCTCGCTTCCAGGGAGCACGGAAGCCGGGAGTAGATGTTGAGAGAGCCAGCTGCAGAGCCTGTGTCCGTAGACGGGACCGATCACACCAGGAAGCGTGCAAAACACAGGCCGTTTGTGGGAGAACATGTCCAGTTTGCTGACTTGCACACACGTGTGTGAGTCGTGCTGTGTGATGAGAAGAACCTGAGCTGAAGCACGTGGTGAGAGCAGAGTTTGAACAGGGCCCCCCTGCCAGGCTCACCGTAAGTCCCCATCTTTGATGATACGCCACGATGCCAATGGCATTCTTCCCAAGGTGCTGCTGTGTTAAGATTTATTTTCAAAAGAAGGTTTCATATTTTTGGCCATGTACTAGAATTGATTTTTCTCCTTTGAGTACTTACGTTTTGTTTTAATTATTTCTTTTCTTTCCTTTTCTGAAGTCCACGGCTCTTTATACCACCTTCGACGAAGTAAGTTAACTTAGGGAGTATCTGGAAACAAATAAAACATTGTTTTTTACTACACAGGAAATGTTGATAGTCATACATGCAAAAAACCCCACTTTATTATAAAGTGTAGTTTTCAGGCTAATTTTGAGATCCAGTATGATTTACCTAGTTTCTGAAGTTATGGAAAGAGCAACATTGGAAAATGCCAAGAGATACTAATATTATATGCTATGATTATTTAGAGGTTACATTTTAGATTTAAGATTAACACTTGCTTCTTTTGCACATGAAATATACATGAACTGCGGTTGTAAGTGTACAACAATGCATTTAATCTGTGAATTGGGTTTGTGAATCTAAAGCTAAAAATCTGGGCGAGTAAAAATTGCCATTGAAAATATTTTTTATCACTTTAGAGTATAGAGGCTTTTATGTGTGTGTAATCCTGGATAATAATTCTCATGAAGCCTGAAGTGTGATTTCACAGTTAGCCGACAGGAGGAAACAAAGGGAGAGTCTCTGGGGAGAGATTTGGGTGTTTAGATTACTTTGCCTTTAAGATAACTCTTAGATTCCTTAGTAAATGGGTGGTGGGTGGGATTAAACAATGTGTCTGTTTACTTGTAGACTTTATTCCATTAGGTAAATAACTTGTATAATTTAATACATAATATGTTTGATGCTGTGAGGATTAAATTAGATAATGTAGTCATATCTGTATGGGATTAGGGTCTGTTGCGTTGGATTGGGTGGTTGGGTTCCAAACTGGTGTGTTAAGAAGTGATGTATAAGGTAACTCTGATGTATACTTCTATCCACATACACACACATGGATGCACACTCACACATGTGAATATACATGAACACATACAAATAGGAACACACAAGCACATGCAAATACATACATACACACATACTTACACATACGAATACACTTGAAGACACATACACACATACATGCATGTACTTCTAGATATACGTAAACACACATACATACAATACAGAAGCATGCACAGATATATACACACGTCCACCTACACGCATGTAAATACACATCAGCATATGTATGCACAAATACACCTATAAATACACATCCACACACATATATACACATTATCACACGTATCCATATATGCACGTAAGTACACATAAACACCCACATACACATACAATTAAGATACATACATATTCCTATGTATTCCTAAAGTCATCATACTGGTTAAGAAAATGGGTGGCTGGCTAGGTCTTTAAGACTGTCCTTATTTCCTTTGCTCTGGGCTTCTGTAGCATGTTGTAACCAGAGATCCTCCATCCTTTGACTCTGAAGGTTCTGTATGTACATGTGTGTGCACTAATTAATTAATGTATTTATCTTTGGTGTTTTAGATATTGGCAAAACACTTGGATGATGGTAAAATCAATCAGCTTCCTCTTTTGCTTGGAGAGCCTGCAATGGTAAAATACTAGGCCTTTTCTGATCTCATATTCTTCTATTTATGGATGTGGTTAGCACTTCTCCAAAATGAAGTTAATCTTGGCTTGTGATCTGCTCACAAAGAGCACTTCTGAACCACCCCCGCACTGTCTCAACGTCACACCCGCGGCAGATTGCAGCTTGGGCTTCAAGGCCCTTTTTCTGAGGCCTGCTGCTGGAGCTGCCCTGCCCCCCCGGCGGCCTGTGAGTGTGTCGCTGGGACCGTGGTGCTGGAGGGGCCAGATAGTGGTGTCCAGCCGGGTCCGTTTCCTACTTAACACTGTTGGTTTTTTATGAAACTATTACAATGGCTACTTTGGACTCTCAGTAGAATTTTTATATTTCTTCCTTTCCACTGAGCGTTATTAGCAGCCTGGGTTCTAATGGGTGACATTAGTGGGATTCTGCGCGGTCTCTGGGTGTCGTTTCTGGCAGCAGGAAGTGAGGGTGAGTGAGCGAGTTTATCTGACATTTGTTTCCCTCCTGAATCTCCGGGACTGCTCCGTCCACCAGCCGCTCGCCCGGCTCAGCACTTCTGACTCTTTCTGCTCCAGCCTGCACTGGGGAAGCAGCAGCTGTCCTCACTGTGGGGGGCTTCACAGAGGAGGGCACAGATCTGAGAGAGGCCTCAGGACAGGGAGGGGCAAGGGCTGTGTTGAGGCAGGAGGAAAGTTAGCTTCCAGACGTGGACACCTCTACCTGTTCCTTCGGGGGGATGTGAGTAAGACCTGGTGAGTTTTAATAAGCACTGGTGCTGTCCACTTCCCTGTCAGTCCTCCCCAAGCAGCAGGGGGCAGTTAGACCGGGGCTTCCCAGGGAGGGTCCTGCCCCAAGCGGCGGGGGGCAGTTAGAGAGACCGGGGCTCCCCAGGGAGGGTCCTGCCCCAAGC